TTTTTTCAATTTTAAAATTGAATAAAAATGATAAAGAACGACCATTATATTCAAAGTTTGTGTGAATGTCGACGAATGTAAAGGGCCTTATTACCGGGGCCCTTGTATAAATGATTGATGGTATACAAGACATTCGCCTCCATACCTAAAGGTACCGGTGAAAACAAAATAATCGATTCATACAGATGGAAACAACTCTAAAAGGCAGATTAAGGCCCTGTTTTACAATGTCTGAACTCTGAATAGTCGCTATATCCTGATCAATTTGAATATAGAACGTAATGTGTACCAATTATTTATTTATAAATACTTTATTACAAACATTATTAAAAAAAAATACAAAGAGCAGGCTTACAGCTATAGAGTGTACAATGGGCGGTCTTATCACACAGTGATTTCTTCCAGACAACCTTAGGATGGGTATTTGACAGAAACCAGGGAATGGGCAGTCTAGTGTACATATGAATACATACAATTTACATATATACATTCATCAATATAGGTACATGTGCACAATAATAGGTATAATAATACCTAGGAGGGTGTGTATATAGTGGGAATTATTTATGTCAAATAAATAATATAAAGGAGGTGGAATATGCGCTCTTGAAGCGTTAAAATGTAATTGTCCGTTCAGTCAATTATCGATTCTAAATCCGTTCAGTAGTTTTAGTATAAATCGCGAATAGACAAACGTGGTAATACGTGGGTGCTTTTCTAAGAGCATTACGGAGTATTATACCTAATATAAAAGATATACAAGTTTACAAGCCTCACTTACTTTGCAGATCTCGATGGAGACAGGCGTCTTGATCTGGAGTGATCTGTGACACGCTGCACTTATGGACGGTTCTTTATTTGCGTCAAACTGCCTGCACGTGACGTCTAAATGCATCAATAATTGCATCGCGGTGCTGTAGACGTCCTTATAAGGTGTTTGTGAGGGTTTGCGTTGAGTACGTCGGCTTTAATTTTATGTAATAAAATAAATGAGTAAATAGAATCCTTTGTTCTTCTGAAACGTTATTTCCTTCACTGACGCACGATTAAAGGTGCAGTATCTATATATGCATATAATAATGAATCGAATTTGTGTTGATAAGCATATAACTCAACAACGCCGGGACCAATTATACCAATTCTTTTTAGTTGTGTTTATGACTGTCAGGAGAAGGTTCTTATCAAGAAAAGATTAGAAAATAGAGAGGAAAATAGGAAAAAGAGTTCCTTTCGTTGTTAGCGAGATAGTTAGACCCGTGCAAAGCGAGGGCGAACAGCTAGTTGAAAACAAAATCAACGTCTCTCAGTTATAACTTCAAATGGAGGAACAAAGAATAAGTTTTTTTATATATGAAAATTGCCCCACACTAGGATTTTCTCCTGATAAGTCAATATCTAGATTGTGATATTATTTTGAGGATTAAGGTGTAATATTTATTCAATATAAATCGTATTAAACAGCTGCATACCAATAGAAAGACTAAAATCAATTACTCTCTTAATAAGCCAAAAATAGGAAACCTAGCCATTTGCCTATGGTCAAATTTTACAACTTTTAACGGTTAAACTTATAATTTTAATTTAATTAATTATTATTATATTAACGTATACTCGGGCTTACTCGCCATTGTATTACACGTGCAATGCTTCTCATATTTATGAGCTCCTAGCGTGGCTTGAAACTTGTCGAGTCCCTCAACAGATACGTTAGTCGTTAAATGTAATAATTAATCTAACCTTTAATTGTGATAATTAGAGACACAATAGTAAGACAATAGGTGCGTGAACGCCGGCGTTCACTTGGACGTTGATGAATTAATATGTCCCAGGAAAGTTATGAAACGAAAACTATTAATATCAGACTTTTTATTTTTTCTAATATCCATACATATAGAAATACATGTGAAGCAAATGTAAACGTCACGAGTTAATGGCAGCCATCAGTCGGGGTCTAATGCGTTGCGACGCAAAATAAAACAAGTGCGCAAATTGTTTTAAATGGGCAGGTAGGCTCGCGCCCGCCTGACCTACAGACGGACCTTTATGATCAAAAACGAAAAATTTACTTTTAGGGTACTGCATATGTGTTGGGAAACTTGATGCAATAATTTTCAACTACGAAATAAATTGATTTCGAAGGTGGTAAATATCTTATATTGGACATATTTTAGATTTATGAAAAATGAATCATAAAATGTGATGGTAAAGCAGATAACTCTAGAACGCCTTTATCAATTACGGCAATTCTTTTTTTAGTGTGCTTATTATTGTCAGCAAAAGGTTCGTATGTAAGAAATTTTCAGAAATCTCTCTCTATCTTTTCGTCGTTAGAAGCAAACATACCAGCTAGTTTTTTTATAAAACTACATTAGACACACACAATAGACAGGTATTCTTTAGGAACCGAAAACTTTCGACGATATAATGATTAAAAATATCTTGTGATGTCACGATAATGTAGGTACAATTTCCACTTTACGGTAACGTAGCTAGCCCCCGCTCCTAGAAGTATTGTTTTGTATATATATTTATTGTTAAACTTGATAAATTTGTAAATGTGAGTGCCCTGTAACCTATTAAAATTAGTTAGACTAGCAGAATGTCGGTCCTTATGTCAGCTTGGAGTTGTCATGCTCACTCAAAGGTCACATTGGCGGTGGCACGGTCACTGGATCGCTCGATTCCCTATATTATGGTTGAGTTGGGCGATGCTGGTGTACGTGTCATGCTCGTGAACGGGGGCCGTCAATTGGGACTGGTCAGCTCCGGACTGTCTATTGTCCTTAAGGTTATTTTCTTTTTATGTTTCTCTGTATACGCGCGTTACACTGTTCTCACATATTCAAACTAACTAAATAATGTATCAAAGAATGTTTATGTGACACTGATTTTAAAAGAGTAACCATGGAGTTTCTTGCTCTTTCTTCTCCATCGGAATCTACACTTTGGAACGAGCGAATAGCTTCACTAAGAGGACTGACCGACAGACTGACACTTTGTATCTTTAAAGTTGTGTTGACGTTCAAAAGTGCCTGTATGGGTCTAATTGAAATAAATTATTTTGACTTTTGACTTTGACTTTGACTATACGACAAAATAGAAAAGTCCCATTTTTACCACTAATGAAATGGCCTACAGATATATATATATCTAAAAACGAACAGATTATACGATAAAGCTTGTTAATAAATAACACATAAATCTGCTTGAAGTGTAAAATAAGGGGTGTGGTAACAGAAATAACAAAACTTATAAAATAAAATCTGTAAAATATTTCTCTCCTCTTTCCCCGAAATGGGAAAGAATTAATTGAAAACATAAATCGTGATAATATTAAATTAACACATAATTTTAAAATAAAATAAATGAAAAAAATAAAACGCTTTTTTATATGTCCAGTTTTGATTATAACACTATAATTTTTTTAATATTCATATATTAGTGAGGTGAAAATATACTTTTTTTAATTTAGCCGACAAAATATGATAGGGTACTAAATTTTTATGAGCAAAACCTGTATATGGGATGTCATAAAACATAAATTATCGTCGGAAACGAAACCTTCTTTAAATTTTAAAACAAAGTATAACCTAAAAACAAATACATGGTCCTGTTGGTAAGCACCGGCGTTACCCACAGACGACCCTAAAAACGAGTTGGAAGTGTGTTGTCGACCTTTTGAGCATATTATTTTAGAAGATAATGAATAGGGGAGGTGGTTATTGAGACTCCGTCCAGTAATTTCAATAACACGACGATAAGTGTTGTGTCATGCCGGTTTTCTGTGAGGCCATGTTATCCACTCCAGTTGAGCCAGCCCAATGGCATAATAAAATTGGAAATACAGGAGTGTAGAAAAACTAAGATTGTATTATCTATGCTTAAAGAATGTGTGTAGCCAATACAAAAAAAAAACTAAACAGATTAGCCGAAGACAATAAAAAAAATGTTTAAAAGCTACTTCATATAAATTAAGTCGGATGACATGTCTTATAAATACTACTAAAAAAACCTATGCAGTCGAAATATTTCACAAAAAGCAATTTAAACTAAATATATGTTATACGATGTTCATATCTGCACAACTCCCCCTTGACCGCACTTCGAGTTTTACGATACCGTAGCGAGCAAGGTTAAAGATATTATTTGGTCTGGAGTAATTAGTCACGTCAAAAGCGAAATGGAGTTATAATTCACTAAAATTGTTTTATGGTGTTAGGAGGCAAACGAGCAGACGGATCGCCTGATGGTATACAATATAGTAGAAATTTTTGATGATTTGATTGAAAAAATCCAAGACAATTTTTCAATCACAAGATGAAATGTATGTACCAACATGCCAACACGTATGTGCCTCCCTTATATAAGAAACATTACGGTTGTTTCCAACTAGTCAACTTTAATACTTTTATCCAAATCTCACTAACGATACTTTTCCTTAAAATTTGTATGAAACACTGAGTTATGACGTCATAGAATTTTTGGGTCAAATAGCGTACTTATTTATTAAAAATTAGCTAAAAAATATGTAAAATTTAGTGTATCGATCGATCGATGAATAAAAAAGTAAAGTTATTTTTCAATATTTTATTGTATTGAAACGTCAAATTTCTTCATTAATTTTGACCTAGGAAACTACCCAATTAAGATCTGACACCGTGCGACGGATGGTAACAGTATCTACTAAACATAACTTGGGGTAACTCAATGCAAACAAATATTAAAAAGATAATAACACTTTCGTTCATTGATTTATACACGATATGCCTATATTTCTTTGTAAGAAATAAGTTTGCATCTTAGTGTACATTCGAAAGCAAAAAAAACCGACGAGACGTTCCCGTGCAAAAATTTCGTTTCTCTACACTAGAAGAGAGGCACACATAGCCAATCTTAGTTCAGCAGAACACATTTCAATCAATGCGATGACTCTCACCACCATCGCATCGCAGAGTCAAGAGACATGTAAAATAAGTAAATATAGATGTAATTCGACTTACCGGTTCAGTTCCACCCTGGTTATCCTTGCCCAGACCCTCGCCCTTGTTCCAGCCCATCTTCTCCAATAACTTGAAACCTTTATTATCTGCTGCTATAGACCTGCCAAAAAACGTAATTCATATTAGAATGTTGTTTTCTGTGATTTTTTATTATTTCTAGCTTTTTCTGTTTTTACTATCAATTTATGCTCTCCATGTACTCGTGGTCCGTGCTTTAGTCATTTAATTTTCATTTTGTCCTGAGAAATTCACATACATAAAAGCTACAGATACAAAATGGGAGCCCCTAAAGAAAATATCAAGAATCGGGTTACCATTTTCCGCTCTCCAAACTGCGATGTCTGCAACCTATTAGAAGATGTGCAACACTTGCTGATGGAATGTGTTAAGAACAAAACTGAAAGGGATTCATTGTTTAAGGACTTTAAACTAAATGTCTTAGATCTTGGACTTATCCAGAGTATTTTGGCGAACCCTAAATCCAATGTTGCTAAAAGGTTGTGTGGTTTAGTTCCGAATGCAATGAATAACTGTGTATTTATAGGTAGGTTTCTGTATACCTTTATGTAGAACCTAGGCGAGTTAGGATTGCATGTAATAGTATTAGGTAAAATCTAAATAATATGTCGTTGTTATAAGGTACAATGGGGTTGACGTATCCATGTGGATAAAAACCTCGTATACTCATGTAAGAATTAAAAAAAAATCCGCTCAATAGATGGCGTTAATATAGCGTAAAGTCTGTGGATGGAGTCAATGAATCTAACAAAAATGTTATAACTGCTAATTCTCTATTCAGCAAAAAGATATCATCTTTTTTAAATGTCATTGGTCAGTAAACGAGCAGCCGGATTACCTGGTAGTAAGAATCAGCGCGGCCCATGGAGACTCGTAGCACCAAAGTAGTTACTATAAGTGCATTGCCGACTTCTTGGGGTTAAAAGCAGGAAAGGATTTCAGGATTGAGGATGGGGATTGGGCCTCCGGTAACCTCACTCACACGGCAAATCACAACGTAAGTGTTATTTCACGCCGGTTTTCTGTGAGGCCGTGGTATCACTTCGGTCGAGCCGGCCCATTGAAAGCATCGTGTTTGTCTTTACAAATAAATATTATTCTACTTACGTGTTAGTATCAGTGCTCTGGGTCTTTTCAGAGTGGTGTGAGGACCCCACAGTTTCTCTCCGCGCCTGCGCCCTGTCGTTGTATGCCGTCTCCTCAATAGCTAGAGGCTTCGGCGCATACTTATTCTTCAAGCGAGCCAACTCCAACTGATGTTGCTTCTGTACGCTGCATGTACGCGTGTAAGCTACTTTCTTCTCTTTTTCTGTTGCTGTAGAGTACATTTTTGGTTAATACATGTAAGTTAATAATAGAATAATCTATACTTATCTGTAGTCCTCTCCAGAATTCGTCATCAACTCTGTATACCAAATATATTTTCAAAATAACTACTAGGGCGTGATAAGTGATCGATACTGATGCCAAAAATGCAATCAGTACAATTTTTGTCTGTCTGTCTGTATGTTCCTTATAGAAACAAAAACTACTCGACGGATTTTAACAAAACTTGGTACAATTATTCTTTATACTCCTGGGCAGGTTATATGATACCTTTCATCACGCTACAAATAATAGGAGCCGAGCAGCGAGTGAAACCGCGCGAGTTTAGCTAGTTTCATATAAATTGGTTAGTTAACAAACTATGCTTTTAATTAAACCAATTCATCAGACTATTTGTTTCTTCATCACAAGCTACTCTGTTACAAGCCCTGTGTTAGAAATATAAAGATGGAAGTTATCTGATCAACCATACCCTCAGATAACTTTCTGTAAAAAAACCATTATCAAATAAACACCTAGGTACCTTCCATTAGTAGCCCGGGCTCGCAGTGTCCACACGTGTCGTTCCCTGGATGTATATGACACAGGAGCTTAGTTTCGCCTATCTGTATTGTGCTACCGTGGACCACCTGTGGATGACAAACAAAATTACTTCATCAGCTTGTATGTAAGAGATGCTGGGAAAACGAGTGCAAGCGTTATAATGTACTACGGCCTCGGGCCCTAGCTGCAGATGATTTTAGAATGATCATCAAATCTTCTAGAAATCTTCCTCGTCTCCTGCTCTGGGTGGGCCGAGACGGAGTGTCAGACTTACTGAACTAAAAACCACCCCGTTCTTTCCCGCAAGCCCGGCACAGAGCTTAGACATTGTTTTTGGAACAAAATCTTAACTAAGGAAAAGTTTAAGTAATAATCATAAAATATCTCTGAGTACAGCTGTGTTTAAAAAGACTTGTTCTGTAAACAGCGTTAGGTTAGCAATACTTAATATATGTATTATATTACACGGTGCGGAGTTAGTCGTGAATTATTTAAAGAAACTGCTATTTGAAGGAGGAATTAAGTCTTAAGTTATGATTTTCTCTTGTGTCGTGGTTTTCGAAAATGTGAAGTCTAAAGTCTACAAACTGAAGATGAAAAAAATCTATTAGTTGGTTCGTACTGTGGCTGTTTTTCTAACATTGACAGCTTAGGAAACGATGAAATATTATATAATACATTTTACGCGATAGTAGTATAATGAAGACTTCTGAAGGCGCCATTGGACTACCTTCAGTCTTTATGCCCGAAATAATTTTCACAAGTGATAAGTCTTTGTTCAATCAATTACCACAGCTAAGCGGATTGGACTAATAAGATTGTACGCCTCATCGCGGACAAACGCCATTCGAAATAAGAATTTGTAAAACTGAATATACGTCATGGTGGCCCGGAGGATAAGGAGCCCTCTTCTCATGCGTAACGGCGCGGTTTTGAAACCTAGCAAGTACCAATGGACCTTTGCCGTGTTGTACTTTCTAACCACTCACATATACGGTGAAGGAAAACATAGTGAGAAAATTTGGACTTTAATTCTATGTTTGAAATCGCCAATCAGCCTTGAGCAAGCGTGGTGATTAATGCTCAAACCTTCTCCGAGTGAGAAGAAGCATTTGCTCAGCAGTGGGCACTTATAGGCTGATGATGATGATGATGATGTAAAACTGAATTTATGAGATCTTACCTCCATAGGTTCACTCCTAACTTGGCTCTCCGACATTCGAGTCCCGTTGAGGATGGTACCGTTCTTAGATCCGAGGTCCGTCATCATGTACAAGTTTCGGTATGGATCGAATTTTATATCCAAGTGGGTCTGAAAAACAACAACATAAAATTATTATAACATTTAACCTTTTGAAAAACCAATAAGACAAGAGATTTGTGCATTTGGTCGTGAGGTAGTAAGGGCGACTATCAAAAAAGTGGTGCTCGAAGCATCTTCTTCTACGAAATATTCGTGTTGTGTAGTTGTGTGTGGGCAAAGATTACGATTAGCGTGCTCATTTTTTTTAATCTTGCCCCACACTTAGATTTTCTTATATGTCGTGGGTTTCGTTTACAAACATACAAATTCACATACCTAAACAATCCACTCAGACCCAAAACAAAAATTTTTGGACCACACAGTTTTGTTTCGTGCGAGATTCGAACCCGCAACACATTGCACAGCGGCCAGTTGCCCAGTCACTGGATCGATCCTTTGCCGCGTACACAGGCCGCGTATCACATAATAGCTACTGTCCCGCGATTTCACCCGCTGCTCGGCTCCATTTGATCGTAGCGTGATGTTTTATAGCCTATAGCACTCAAAAAAATTGAAGCTATCTATCACTGAAAGAATTTTGGCAATCCGACCAGCGTTCCAAAGATTAGGTACCCTGTACCAAGGTAATAATATCTACAAGTATTTCAACTTCATAGAAACGGCCGAAACGCGAACTATACCTACGCGCCCGATGTCGGGACGCGTTCGGGACGCAGACAGACGCGGCTGTACCGCAGTGACGAACGGACGGTGTGTTGTCTTTTATTTAGAAATCAGCTCGAGTACATTATTTAATATGACGAATAGGAAATATTGTGCTGTTATTATGTTTGGTTGCATGAATTCGTCAATAACGCATCCAGACATAAGTTTTTTTTTAAATTACCTGGAAACTCTGAAAGGTAAGACTATAAAATAATTTTACTTACTAGTAGCCTAGGTAGGTACATAATGTGTGTCTTTATGGATCATTATTTCCAGTTATCTCACGAAAACAGATGTTTGAATTTATAAATAATATGAATAAAGTAATTGAGACGAGTGAAATAGGTAGTTATAGGCGGTTCTGGTTCTGAATGAATCATGATACGTTAGGTACCTACCTACTTACGCTTGTGTTAAAACGGTTCATGTATGTTTTGTTAGTTTGTATAATTCAAAGTAGAGAGTGTGGTATTTTATTATTAATAATATTTGTTTATTATCTGCGTTTATGAATAATACTAGAAAATATTTAATAACAACAATAAAACAGCTAGACTCATGTAATATTTTGATGTTTGAGGGTTGTGATTTTAGAACATTCGTAGTCAGCTGTTCAGTTCGGCATTAGCGGCCAAAGAAATTTTGTTTGTTTATATTTAAAGCACTTTATTTGTTTATATAAAAATGGATATTCACAATCACAAAACTAAATGGAAACAGAAAGTAGACAAAGGTAATTAAAATACTGGAGACGAGCAGCCCTAACGCATGTTTACGTACCGCGCGGCTGTAGGTATTTATTTCTTTCAAGCGGCCGAGTTACAATACTGTATGATATTTATACTGTGCCTGTACAATGTACATACAACCTCACAAATTTTACCTTTTATAAAAATAATTTGCTTTATGACACTCACCCTAGACACATTATGATCTTTGAGTAATATAATGTGTTGTTCTCCCTCCCTGCCGACAGTGCCGCCATCTTTAGTGATGATGAATAGGTTGCCCACACGCAGTTTCGGTAGCTTCGTCTCGCGCACGATCACGCGCATGCATGGAGGATGGTGCTTCGCTACTGACTCTGAGGAATAAAAAAGAAATGCAATGTGAATTACATAATACATTTGGTTGTAATTGTAATTGAGTGTTTGTATCTTATAGTGTATTGTAACTGACTTATAGTGTAATGGAAGACCAATCCCTTTCAATCCCCAAATCCCTTATCCTTTAATCCCTAACAACCCAAAAAAGCCAGTAACACTCTCTTGTAACTCCTTTAGTTCTGTGATTATTCATGGATGGTCCTGACTGCTTACCGTGACCCGTCTGATTGTTAGGTGAGCTATACAATAGAAAACAACAAGAAACTGATGTAATGACAATTTGACATAGGTGAGCTTATGCATTTTCAAGAAATTGTAGAGTGTATCATGAAAATTGGACCTTATTAGTACTTCTAAGTGTATAATATATCTAACAATATACCAATGTAGAAGTTATATACTAGCTTTAGTTAGTATATAAGCTTATTGGCAGACACATAGCATCATTTTTCTCTAAGTTTCTTAAAATTTTAGCATATTCCTTGACATTTCAACTTGACATTACAAAGGGACTTGACATTACAGGCTATGGGCAAAAAAGTCCCCCAAACCAAGAAAATGAATGACACATCTGCCTTGCAAAAATTACCATCATCAGTAGCTGTAGAAGTACTAGCGTTAGACTTGACATCATCATCGTCATCATCATCGGAACTGGATGAGCTTGTGTCACTGCATTCACCATCCTCCATTTCTTCTGGTTCAGCTGTTTTAAGAACAGATTCTTCTATCTTCTCTTCGTTGGTTTCTTTATCATCAGTTACCACATCAATCTTTTTTTCTATGATTTCAGGAGAAGAATCGTCTTTGTTCTTATCCTCAGAAGTCTCTTTCTTCTTTTTTTTAAGATCCTTTTTTCTTTTAGGATTCTTCAAATTGTTCTCTTCTGCTTCTTTTTCCTGTAATATAACATTTGGAATGTTGGTATGGTTGTAGCCACAGATTACTTTATTTACCTAAGGCTTTTCGGCCTCCGAGTGAAACCTGAGATAAGCTTTTCGTCAGGTTATCTAAATCATTAGTTCCTCCCACCTGAAAAAGAATTTCAGTATTAGTTAAGTTTTAATATTATTTATTCCTATTATGAATTTCGTGTGATATTTGATACAGTATTATGTCAAGAAAACATAATATAGCTTTTGACGTTTTATATTTGTGATGTTTTATATTCTCAGCTCGGCACTCAAGAACATTGTAGCTATCTAACAGTGAAAGAATTTTGGAAATACGACCAGTGGTTCCAAAGATTACTTAAAATTTGTAAGTTTGTATGTAGGGGACATAGAAACTTACAAATTTTACCTCTTTATAATCTATACTAATATTATAAAGAGCTAAAATTTGTAAGTTTGTATGTAATCTTCGGAACTTTGGAACGCTGGTCGGATTGCCAAAATTCTTTAACTTTTAGATAGCTACAATGTTCAGCGCGAGAGTAGCTAGTTCTTTAAAAAATTGTTAAATATGTGTAATAAAGAATATATAAATAAATCTAAAACTCACATACCATTTTATGTTTTTTAGCCTTCCGCTTCTCATGGGCTATCAGCGCATCATTGGCGGCACTCCTATCTGGATATGAGTGGAACTCGAAGCACTTCTTTTCTTCTGAGTAGGAGTAGTAACATTGTGTGTCTGTATGGTAATACAGCCCTAATTCCTGAAAATTAATAATAAAAGTTGATATCTATTTCGTTCTGTAATATTATTAATTTAGATTTGGTCTTTGTCACAACATTTTGTAATAAAATTGTTATCAAACCTCTACAAGTTATCATAATTTCTTTTTAACTGAGGGAATTACTTAAATGTTAGTTATAAGTTGTGGCAGTTTTAATTGTATTTACTGTTTATCCAACTACCTACATCATACAATTATGATGGATAGCCATACATACCGAATTATAATAATAACCAGTCTTATAATCATAATACATTCCAGCTGATTCTACGTACACCATCCCCGACTCTTTTAAGGCATCCTGTGCAACTTCTGCAACTTGCTCTGCTATACTTTTTGTTTCTTTATTGTCATTTAGACTCCATCCTGAATCTTCAACTTTATTTTCTGATTTATCTTCTATTGATTTAATGTCAGTTTTATCACTTATTAGTTTTTCAGTCTGTATTCCAATATTCTTAGTCTTTTTCTTTATTTTCTTTTCAAATGTACCTTCACTTTTTTTTAAATATGCTTCATCAGTATTTACACCTATTTCAGCACTTTTTGGAGTAGTGTCTTGTCGATTACAACCATGTGTAGCTTTTAAATATGCTTGGTAGAAGTCAGAAGTCACCTGTACAATAAAATATGTAAGTGTATCGTTACTATATGGACAATACAAGAGGTTGCATTATGATTTATAGGCATTATTGCCTACGAAAAGACTACGTGGTATTGCTATAAGAGTAATATCAAAGAAAGTAAGATTTTATGACAGCAAGAGAGAAGAGACTGGGTCATTCAGATTAAATTTTAGTGAAGTAGGTAGAGGTTTTAGGTTACAAGATTTTCTTACCATGTCTTCCACACTGAGTTTGAGCCTCAATAGCTGACGATGTTTTTCTTTTATGCGAGATCTCAGTTTAAGTATTAATCTTAGAATTACTGGCCGGTATTTCAAAGCGAGACGAAGTTTCCTCAAATTGAAACGTTTTTTAGGTATATACACAGGTGAATCACTCATTTTTTTTAAACAGTTAGATGCAAACAACTATACCGACAGTTGAATATTATTAGGCTTTTATTAGTTCAATAATTAATATAATTCCAAATTATTTATAGTCAGACTTTTAATTCGATTCCTGATTTGACATTGACCACTGTCATTTTGTGAAATAATGATACCACATACAACAGTGTAGTGATGAACACAAAAATCGATAAACAATCAGTGAATCAGTTTCAGGAAGGCATTCAAAAAATTACGGCTACCGAATGGTCTAAATGTGTATCCCATGTTTTCAAAGGAGAGGAAAAAATGAGTAAGCTAGATATGTTAATTGACAATAAATATCAAAGACACAATTCATAATAAATGTTACATAGAGTAACGGCGATAGCGATAGCGATGACGGCGACAATTTATAAAATGACTGTTTTATTTGTCACGTTCCTTCATGATCACATTTTTTATTATTTTCACACACAATTACAAAAGAAAAGTCTCAGATCGTTAATTAATTGTCAAAACTAAATTATCGGTTCAGAAATATTTTATTTCCTGATAAACTTAGTCTACGAGAGTAAATTTATAAACGAGAGGAATCGATTCAGAAATATTCGATTTCCATATCGAATAATTTCGCAACGTCACTATTTATTACGTGTCATAACGTTGCAACACTGAAATTGTCAAATCTGGAATGGAATTAAAATTCCGAGTATAGTTCTCATATCACCAGACAAAATGTTTGAAAAAATCCACACATTTGACAAATTTGACTTTGACATTCGCAAATGACAGATTGTAGATTTTTTGACAGGCACGTATTCTAGTGACACTAAACACTAATGCCTCGGCCGCACTCACAGCGACGACATTCGGATGATAAACTTCGTCTTCGGGCTACGGGGAATCTTCGCGGCCACATATAATATACAAAACCCTTTGCATCGCGACAAAACCCATAGATTACGATAGAGTTTACCGACAGCGGAGCGATAAACCCGAAGCTTCGCCCGAAGTGCTGAAGGGTTCGCGAATACTTGGCTACACATCATATCGCGATAACGTGAAATTCGGGTTATAGCAATGAATGCGGCTGGGCAATTTCTAGCAATCTATTATAGATTGCAAGAAATTGCCATTTAACAAATTGTGTCTATGCCTGTTCAGTTCTGTTCCATTTATTACGGAATATAGGTTTATAAGTTATTCGAAATATTCATCATCTACTCTTAATATTTGTATAAAATAACTGTTCAGGTAAATCTCTCGTATACAATGTGGTGTCACTTTACCAGTTATGTTCAGTTTCATGTCATAGGGGTTGATTATATTTGCTGTACACAAAGAGGAAAAAACCCGGGTGAATTTCTTTATGGCTGTATACCTACACACAATTTAAGCTTTGAGATATTAAAAAGAATATTGCCACACTTAAAGCTCTGTGATACCTTGTATTATTTAATAGCAATCAAGGATGCATGTGGGTCGATGTAAAATAGTTCTGCCTTCCTCATCGTCCTAAGGTGCCCACTATTGAGCAAAGGCCTCTTCTCACACGAAGAAAGTTTGAACATTAATCACCATGCTTGCTTAATGCGGATCGACGATTTCAAACTTGTAAATCCAGGTTTCATCACGACATATTTCTTCACCGTATGTCAGAGGTGTCTAAATAATCATAGAAAGTACATATAACTTGGAAAAAATCACATTGGTACTTGCCAGGTTTCGAACTCCACCCTCATACATGAGAAGCGGGCGCCTAACCTCCAGGCTACCACGACATTCTGCCCACTTAGTACTATTTATTAATTTTAATACATAAAAATGAAGAAAAAAGAAGTAATTCTATTACTGAGGCACAGGTAAATAAAGACAAAACACAATTTCTAGACCAATTTTTATTTATTTAAAATAAAAAGCTCATTAATTACATAAATAATGTGCGTTTATAATTAGAATGATTTAAAAGAAAATGAAGAGTAAGCAGGTATGTATAAATTTGAAAGAATCAATGAAATGGTACGGCCTTACATGGACATTTAAGTACTTCTATTACAAAACTTGAGACAAATGAAAACCTGAACATGGCTGGCCTTTAAAATTGTATATTTAATAACACTAAAAAGATCTATAAATGCAAAACTCTAAATGAGTATACAGTAGAAAAAAATACATCCAAAGGAAAAGTTATCATTATAGCTCATTTCGTTCAAGTCCCTAAGTTTACACAATTTGTTAACCTTATAACTATGGTAATATTAGACAAGTACAAAATGATATTCCATCCTTAAAAATATCTATTCGTAGCCTATAACTAGAGTCAGTTGTATATTCATTACAATATAATGTTAATTGTAATTCTTAGTAAACACACCAGCTAATCATGATCGATTCATGCAATATAAACAGCGATTCGTTAAAATGGCGCACCGACTGTGACGTCATCGCCTAACTCAACAGTAACCTCATATGTACTTCGCACACACACGCACTACCTATAAATATAACGTGTATGGAAGATCTACGCTAAAGGCTAAAATGTTACAATTTCGATATGTTTTATTTTAAATTACATTAAATAACAACTGTGAAACAATGGCACATTTTTAGCCAAACAATTTAATTACTGTTGTTTTGGTACATTAGCAAATAAATTAGGTGTAGTTTAGTTTAGGTAATTGACAATATGTCAACTTGAAACTTGAATATTTCAACGAATATTATATTAAATCAGTTCACATAGTTTAGTAATATTCGTGTATTAGTTAACATAAATCTCTCTCAACTGCCATTAAATTTGTAAACGATTTAAAGTTTAATACGAAACCATTCACGCATTCGATTGAACTTCGGCCTTATTCTAAGAGCTAATGTAACATCATCTACTTCAACAATAACGCTAGGTACTTTATTTTATTGTGAAGTCTCCAGTTTTATAATATAATTGAAAAATGACATCACACTACCCACACCGTTAGGTTCGAGTAGATATTGTGACGTGCTTATATTATTAGAAATTCGTAGTCACATTAAACTGTGCACAATTCCTCAATTCGTCGACAACGGGTTACTCCCCTAACTAATTTATAAATGCATCTCATTACAAGTGCGTATAGCTGTCTAAGTATTTAATATATGACAGCGCGCAAGTTAGAAATAAATAAATCGTAGAAAATAACTGCCGGTGCTCGCGTCGACTAGTTAAACGATATCGCAGTATTTTAATAAATCGAAAGTATTTCGTAAATTATTAGTTCACTATTTTGACGGGATTGGTGCGCCCCTGGTTTATGTCTTCAACTCATTATGATCGAGGTTGGGTGGAGGACATGTAAGGGGGCGCTGTGAGTGGATTTAGGGTGGCACGTAGGGGGGTGGCTTTCTGTAGGTGGGGGTGGCCTTGGGACGCGCGGGCTGAGGCGTGCGGGCCGCGGCGAAGGGGGGCGGCGGGCGGTAGGGCGCGTCCTCAGAGGCGCGGTAGTCGGGCGCCGGCGGCAGCAGCGGGGGCTTCTCGTCGCGCATGATGACGGGGCTCTTGTGCGCCGCCTCTGCCTCGCCTCGCTCCTCCAACTCGTCCTGGAAGATCACCGGGATCCCCTTGGACCGGAACGCCTGCCTCTCTTCTTCGTCGCCCACGCTCATTTTACCTGCAAGAATACATGGTTATGTCTTGTATTAAGTCTAACACAACACTAAAAGCGAGCTTTAGATACTGCTTCCCGTGCCTGCTTTATACTCGTTTACAGCCAATCTGATACGTGTGCAATAATCTTGTGATATTGTTTTGAATACATGGTTGATATTGGCGCTTCCAAAACGACATTTGCGCGCGACATTGTCGTTGTGAATTCAGTTTACATTTTACTTGTAAAGCAATCAACTTTTAAGCATGTATTATATGTCTCGGGTGTATTATAGCGTTGGCAAGCGATATAGTGAGATTATTGTTTGATATAAATCAGCGTATAATTTTGACGATTAATATAACTCCAATACGTGAAAAGCAATAACTTGTACTCAATAAATTAAATAATGTGTTACACTAAAATGCTTTATTATTTTGGATCACCTTATTATTCAAGCATTGTCACCTCCTACAGAATTAAACTAGACGTTAGTTTACCGTTCACACATTCATTAAATGTACCTTGTCCTAATATCTTGACCATTTAGGATACGCATACACCATGAATCGAAAAATTTAAACTTTAAGCATTATGCTGTATTTCAAATGCAGTGTTTGCCTATCCTAAACAGTCAATAAAAATATTATTATTATTGTTTACCTGTCCTCCGCCGCCTGTACAGCACGCAGGCAATGATGGCAGCCAGCAGTATCATACAGACTATCACAATGGCCGGTATAATGAATGTCACCAAGTAGTTCGGATCAGCTGCGTTGCTAGCCTTATTATTTTGCGAGTTTGATGACCCCAGCCCAGGAACATGTATTGACGTTTTAAGGATCTTAGTATTCTGTTCAGCACACAACCCGAGTGGTATTAGCCTAATGGACATCACTTTAAAGTCTTTATCAAACACATGATCAACGTTTTCTTTGAGTGCACCCCCCATAGAGCCTCTCTCATCAACTATGATCATTTTGCGAAGCTCCTCGATCTCCTTTTTAGGGCATCGGTCCATTGGTAGACTTGTGTTATACCTGGAAGAGAAAAAAGGTTTCTGAGTAAAGTTGCGTGCAGGATAAGGCAAATCAGGATTGACCCCACTTTATTCAATGTGTGTGGTTTTACTACACTCTGCAACATTATTGACTTAAGTATTATTAAAGAAAACTTTATGTAGGTATTTGAATTTTCAAATAGAGAAGCGAGAGAGAGAGAGAAAGAGAGAGAGAACAGAATAGAAAAACTTATAGGGGGAAAAGAGTGAGAAAAATACCAATAGCAAGTAACTAACCATATGATAGTAGTAGGATTATTGGTGATGCTCTGTATCCTGATATTGTCGGTCTCCTTCTGACCAAACAGTGCAGCAAGCTTCTCGACCACCTTACGCTTGTTATTGGCATCGTAAGCCAGTAGGGGGA